CCAGGAGTTACTTTTGACATAGCCTTACCACACCACAAACATTGGAGCAGATGTGGTGGTCCCATCATTGTGACTTTAGAACTTCACTGCCTGTTCCTTGGCCCAATTTGTTTGCTTTAAAGTAGTTCATCCATGCAGCCCTCTCCTTGTTTTACTCTTCCCATCAACTCTTTTTTTTTTTTTTCCATTCCTCTAAATAGCTCTTGATACTTCCCATCCACTAGTTAATGCTTTGATGTTTACAAACAGTCCATTCAGTAGTTAGGATCACTTAATTTCTTGACCCAATATCTAATGGCTTCTATTCTGTCTTAGCTATCCATTTAGTTGTGTCTTGGATATTGTCATCACTCTAAATGACTCAATCTTGATATTATTACTAAATCAAACAAAACTCTGTTTCTTAAATTTTATTCACTGACCATATTCCTTATGCCTGGTTTAATAAGTCACTGTCCCTGCTATCATTTGATTTTACTATAGTTTTCATATTGTTTTTCTCTCACTAGCACTTGCCCTTAAGTGGAAAACAAAGCTATCTTTAGGTAATCTCTAGTATCCTACTGCTGACCCATCTGCATCATTTCCTTTCCCTTCTAAATAGGGAGAAGCCCTCTTATCTAATGCCAGTGCCCATGCTTGGGCTTTGAGTCTTAGTCATTTCCTACTTGAATGTTTCCAACTTTCTCTTCCTATTTTTGTCAGTTTCTAAATATGCTAAGGATTCCACTGTTCAAACAAACCTTTAGACCTAGTTTCCATTGGGTTACCATCCTGTTTTTCCCACTTTACAGCTATATCTAAGACACAGTTGTGTCCACCTTGCAAGTCGTTCTCCATTCCCATTCCTCAGACTAGCACATTTTGAGTCCTGTAGTCCTTACTTTATTGAAAATGCTTACTAAGATCACCTGGGTGATAACCTTGTATCTCTAAATTCATTGATTAGTTCCTGGTCCTCTACATACTTTATCGATCAATGGCATTTGATGCTATTTTATAGTTAAGTTTTTTGTTGATATTCCACCTTGATTCTACTTTTAGGTTTTACTCCTACCTCTTTAACCATGGTGTCTTAACCTTGATAGTGTGCCCACCCTCTTCCATAGTCTTCTCTAGATCATGTTCTTTTTCTCTCAAATTTTTCTAGGATGGTTTCATTCCCCTACCATCAGTACCAGGTTTTAGGTACTGATAACTCCCAGATCTTCATGCTACTTGATATCGTCACTTGTGTATCTCAAGAACACTCCAAACCTAATTTTTTTTTTCTTATAAACTTTCCTTTTATTCTTGGTATTCATTTAGTTGCAGAAGCTAGAAACCTAAGTACATCCTTCTTTCTGATCTTCTCACTCAATTGCCAAATCTTACCTTACATTTCTAAATATTCCTTGATTCTGTTTCTCTCCATCTTCACTATGACCTTCCAGTATTACAGTTACAATGCTGCTTCTCCCTGTGCCTAGTGTTGCACCGCTTTTAACCTATCTTCTCATCAACCAGAAAACATGCTTAAAACCGTTCTTATGATAAAAAAAACTAGAACTTTTTTCAAAGCTGGGGACTAAAACCAGGGTTTTGTACATGCTATGTAAGTGTTCTACCCAAAACCTAGAGTTCTAGTCATGATTTACAGAGCCTTGTATAATCTAGTCCTACTTCTGGCTTGATCTTAACTATGAAGTACTATCAACCCTATTTGTTGAGTTGACTTGAATCACACTTCACTTTTTCTGTGCTCCAGCCACACTGGTTCGTAGTCCTGTCTTGCACTGTTCTAAGGGCCTTTGTACTTGTTGCTTCCTGGTTCATGATGCAGGAGAGAAATCATTACCTACTAAACTTCCTAATCCAATTGTCATTTCCTTAAAGAAGTCTTCCCAGATATCAGCTCCCATAATTCTTTGTGTATTGAATGTGTGATGCTCTTTAATGGTTTGAAACCTCATGAAGACAGAGTCCATGTCTTTATAACTCATGCTGTATCTTCATCAACGTAACTAGTGTGTAGCTTTTAGCTTCTTTCTTGTTCAAGTTACTATTAACAACAGAAAAACTAAGAGAAATTTTGTTTTATTGAATGATAAAGAAATGAATTTGCAATTGTAGCCTTTGCCAATAATTTAGAATTTGAGTTTTGCTTTTTTATTTATTTTTGTTTGTTTGTTTTGTTTTGTTTGTTTGTTTTTGAGACGGGTTTTACTGTGTTGTTTTTAGTGCCTGTCCTGGATCTCGTCTGTAGACCAGGCTGTCCTCGAATTCACAGAGAGAGATCCGCCTGGCTCTACCTCCCGAGTGCTGTGATTAAAGGCGTGCACCACCACTTCTTGGCCAGAATTGGAGATTTTTGTTGTTGTTATTAAGACAAGCTGTCACTAGGTCTTGGATTCTGGAGATGTAAACACATTCAAGAGAGAATTGACCACAGACCAAAGTAATGCTACCACCATAGTCAAACTTGTTGGGATTACTTATAGGAGCGTGCATAAGGGATTACTTACAGGACCAGAAATGACTCCAGGACAGCACATCACCAGAAGCCTAGCCCAGCTTGTCTGAGAGCTCACAAAAGCTAGAACCCAGGGCAAACTGCATGCTTTGCAGGCATCTCAACGGATTGAGAGTGTCTGTTCCAGACAGCTTATCTTTTTTGAGAGTGTCTCTCAGCAGTCCTTGCTGTATATGTATGCTTGGAGAGGGAGGGGCCTAGTGCATCTGGTCAGATTCAGGAAGTTTTAAATTTTTTGAGTTGTTTACTTCCTGAGTTTGAAGGAGATTCCCTGCGGAATGGAATACTTCAACTCTCTTCTTTAAGCAGCTTTCCTCCAAGATGTAGTTTTGGGTATGGGAAGAAATTGCTACCCAACACCATGCTAGCCTCTGGAATGCTAGGAATATAGGAACAAGTTGCCATGCCCAGCTGGACATGTTTTTTTCATCCCAAAACTCACTGGACAGTATCTTCTAACACTGTATGATCAGTCATCACCTGAAGGCCCATCTCCAGCAGTTTACTCTTCGAATTTGTAGGTCCTCTAATTCTGTGTAAATATTTCTTAAACACTTCAACTTCTTTTATCAGCAGCTTAATTTGACTTTCATCAGTTCATGATACAGATGACCGAAGCTGTCTCCTAAGTCTTTTGTTATGAGTCCAGATCCCTTTAGATAAGTTGGAACCCAGCTCGGTTAATGATAACAAAGAGTCAATAACAACAACTTACCATGTTTTTATTTCTTTTAAATAAAAAACCTAGTCCAAAGTTGGTATGGTAGCTTCACAATCATGAGACCTAGGCTACTTCACAGTTTTCAGATGGTTGTGTCTGGGATATCCCCCTCATTCTTGTGACCTAAGTTGAAGCTTTTATCACATTGACCTTTTAAGGAAACAGAATGGATCAGAGTTAGTTGGTGAAAGGTATGCCTTCCTCCCTGGAAGTTGCATGTTAAAAGTTTCTCATGTGGCCAGATCTTGTTATAAGGGAGGCTGGAACTGTAATCTCTGTTACCAGTCATTTACCCAACTAAAGATTAGGGGTTCTGTTTCTAAGGAGAGGGACTTAACTTTAGAAAGACCTACCAGTTCATTTCCAAGACTAGCCAACTGTGATACAAAATATAAATAACTACAGCATTCATTTGCTTATTGGCTTTTGTGACATCAGACTCAGCATCAGAACTGGGGCTTTGCCTGAACAGGTCCTACATGGCCTCTCTAGACTCATCTTTAAGCCTCTTTCTTTGGTTTTTGTTTTGTTTTTTGTCTTTTGCTTGCCATAAAAAGGACATGTTATTTTGGTTCTTGAACACATTTTTCTGATTCTGAACTCTATCTTCAAATTTCTGGGTAGACTTCATACTTACTATGTATTCACACATGATTCTGATGTTAAGTTAGCTGAAGATAAAAGAGAGAGAGGTGCAGTAGTCATTCTCTTGGAACTTAATGTGTAAAGGTCAGTATAGGAAAAGTAAGCACAACCATGGTAAATTTTATATACAAGAGTATGTTGTAATGGAAAATAACACTAGTACAAATTTACCTGTTTGTGGGATGAAGGTCTTCCTTGAACAAGTGATTTTTTTGCACTTATTTTTATTTTTATGAGAGTAGAGAGGGAGAGTGTAGGCCGAGTTTTCCTGTCCCGACTGCCTGCTACCAAATAACTGACTCAAGAGGCTGAATATGAATTATAAATACTTGGCTGATAGCTCAGGCTTGTTACTAGCTAACTGTAACACTTAAATTAACCCATATTTCTATTTGTGCTTTGCCACATGGCTCATGTCTTGTTACTTCATTTTTACATGTCCTACTTGCTTGGCAGCTGGCTGGAGTCTCTCCTGACTCTGCTCTCCTTTCCATCATTCTCAGTTTGGCTTTCCCGCCTAATGTTTTGCCCAACTACCAGCCTGTCAGTTTTTTATTAACAAATGAGAGTAATATTCATAGTATATAAAAGGAATGTTCCACATCAGGAGAGAGTATGTGTGTATAAGCACACATGTATGTGGGTGCCCCTGGAAGCCAGATCTCTTGGAGCTGGAAGTTACAGGCAGTTGTTAAGATGTCTGATATGGGTGTTTGTAGCTAGGTTTTCCTGCCTTGCCCACAGTCAGGACAAATCTTTGTCACCCGCCAGTCCCACAGCCGCTCAGACCCAACCAAGTAAACACAGAGACTTATATTTCTTACAAACTGTATGGCCGTGGCAGGCTTCTTGCTAACTGTTCTTATAGCTTAAATTAATCCATTTCCATAGATCTATACCTTGCCATGTGGCTCGTGGCTTACCCGGCATCTTCACATGCTGCTTGTCCTGGCGGTGGCTGGCAGTGACTCCTTTTGTCTTCCTGTTCTTTCTTTTCTCCTCTCTGTTAGTCCCGCCTATACTTCCTGCCTAGCCTCAGCCAATCAGTGTTTTATTTATTGACCAATCAGAGCAACACATTTGCCATACAGAACATCCCACAGCAGATGTTGGGAACCAAACTCTGGTCCTCTGAAAGAGCAGCAAGTGTTCACCACTGAGCCATCTCTCCAGCCTCCTGAAGAAGTGATTAAAAAATTTTAAATTATGTTTATAATTATTTCATGTGAATGCATATGTGTAGACACATGTGCTATGACATGCATGTAGAGGTCATAATTCACCTCAAGATGCAGCATTAACCTGTCTCAACTTCCTTCATGTTGGACTGCCCTGACAGATTTTGAACTTAAAACATCCATGTGTATGCACCAAATTCAATTTCTCCTTCTTTCTTATGCACACCCACACCCCTCTGGAGAATCCCCCCCCCCTTTTTTTAAACAGGAGGTTAGTTTGGGGTCAGCCTGGTCTATAGAGTGAGTTCCAGGATAGCCAGGGCTATTATACAGAAAAACCCTGTATGTGGAGTGAGAGGGCAGGTAGTAAAGTTATTATTTGAGTATAAAACAGCAGAAGACAGTGATGAATCAGTATAGGTTTGAAAGACTCTTATGCACAAAAGGGAATTAAGTGAGAATACAAACATAGGCAGGCTTTAAGGCAACATTGAGGGCTCAGTAGTGTTCTTGGTTGTTTTTTAATGAAAGCTATTGGGGTCCAGCCCCAAATAGCCTTTTCCCAGAGTTCCCGGAAGAATCTACAACCAGCTGGGAAATCTATTTATCTATGAATAAGTCCACTTATCTGAGGTTATATCAATAAATTTATACACACTGCCCTTTCAGTCCATCACTTTATTGTCCTAGTAAGCTTTAACACAGATCTCTTTTGTTCTCTTTTTCTACAGCGTCTTTTCAGCCCTCATAGTTCCTCTCTTGCCTGACTATCCATGCATGTCTAACAGGAGACTCCTTGCAATCCTGAGAAAAGTTTTATAACCTTCAAGGTCATAGCACATTCCTAGAATAGATGATAAGGAGCAGAGCCATTACCATGGTAATTCAAGGTTCCAACGTCTCAGGACTAGAGGGAGGGGGCGTAGTGCCCAGTGCAACAAACTCTGAGACAAAGCTTTTTATCAGCAGTCTTGGCAAGTGAAGAATTGGCAGGCTTTTCTTAGGGTGTTTTGTGTTATCAGCCTTGGTGGACACCTGTGACTCTTGACCTTGTGCATCACTATAAAGTTTTAAACTTGTGATCTCTATATAAAGGCCTTTAGTCTATTTTGAACTTGCTCTGAGGTAAAAATGAGCTAAATGTATGTAATTTATGTTAGACTGAGGAAGGATTATTATTTTCTGTGTTAGTCTAAGCAAAAGGAACAAAGCAGGCTTTAAGTGTCTACAGTCTCATGGGACAATGGGTCTTGCTATGAAGCATAACCTAGTATATTTTCTATATATCAAAATTATACGGCTAAATGAAAAGTCATCTTCCTGACCACCCACAGATATATGTGCCCTTAAGACTGAGATGTAATCATGAGATTACATATATATATAAAGGCCTTTAGTCTATTTTGTGTATATATATTATATAGTATAGTATATACACATATATATATTATATAATATAGTATATATTACATACATACACACACACACACACACACACACATATATATATATATATATATATATATATATATATTACATGAAGATGCATGGTAATGGAGAGATATCATAGCTGTTATTGCACAAGAAGTTTACAACAAGAAACAGCCAGTTCATTCAAAAGACAATAATTCCAACACACCTTGTGTGATGGCTTAATCCTCTACCAGAACCCTTGGTTCTGATAGGTTTACCTTTTGAACATTAGTTGTCACCTGCTGTATACTCCCTTGGCCTTTTGGTACCAGCAGCTCTCAATAGTTTTTTACTCTTTACTCTTTGGGGGCACACCACCCAGCTCCCAAATAAATACACAGAGACTTACTCTTTCTTATGAATGACCGGCCTTAGCTTGGCTCATTTCTAGTTAGCTTTTCTTAATTAATTATCCCATCTACCTTTTGCCTCTGGGCTTTTACCTTTTTTCCTTTGTTTTTGGTTGTTTTTGTTTTTTGTTTTTCAAGTTTCTCTGTGTAACAGTCCTGGCTGTCCTGGAACTCACTTTAGACCAGGCTGGCCTCAAACTCACAGAGGTCTGCCTGCCTCTGCCTCCTAAGTGCTGGGATTTAAGGGGTGCACCACCATGCCTGCTGGGCTGCTTTTTACCTTTTTCTGTTTCTGTATATCTTTTCTTTCCTTCTTATTCCATGTCTGGCTGGGTGGCTGACCCCTGGCGTCTTCCTCTCCTCCTCTTCTTGATCCTCCCTCTGCTTGATCTTTCCTTCTATTTCTTCTCTCTGTCTGGCAGCCCCACCTGTCCCTCTCCTGCCTAGCTATTGGCTGTTTACCTCTTTATTAGACCAGTCAGGTGCTTTAGGCAGGCAAAGTAACACAGCTTTAAGTTAAACAAATGCAACATAAAAAAATGCAACACATCTTTGCATCATTAAACAAATATTCCACAGCATAAACAAATGTAACACATCTTTATTAATATTCTACAACACAGGAGAAATTACTAAACAGAATTCCCATTTACTTTTGCCTGTCTGGAAAACTTACTTTAAAGCCTAAACTTCCTGAACTTCTGCCTCTTGGGGATGCCTCACAAAAAGAGTTGGTTGTTTATGCCTGCAGTTTTTGTTTTTGTTTTTTTAACTATGCTCTTTGGGGGCCTGCCACCCAGCTCCTAAACAAATACATGGAGACTTATTCTTAAGAATGCTCAGCCTTAGCGTGGCTTCTTTCTAGCTAGCTTTTCTTAAATTATCCTGTCTACCTTTTGCTTCTGGGCTTTTACCTTTCTTTATTCTATATGTCTTTCTTTCTTACTCCGTGGCTAGCTGTGTTGCTGGGTAGCTGCCCCTGGTATCCCCCTCTCCTCCTTTTCTTGATCCTCCATCTTCTCTTTTCTCCTATTTATTCTCTTTGCCTGCCAGCCCCACCTATTTCTATCTCCTGCCTAGCTATTGGCCATTCAGCTTTTCATTAGACCAGTCAGGTGTTTTAGGTAGGCAAAGTAACATAGTTACATTCTAGGACTAACAGAAATAACAGCCCAGATCACCACATGCTAGTCTCCTGACTTAAGGTAAATTCTACAAGGAGACACTGCCTAGGTCAAGTGGACCTCAAGTAATAGCTTTGCACAATTTAGCTCGGACCCTCCTTTTCTTACAGCCTTACTAACTTTATAGAACTCCAATTCCTTACCTAACCACTTCTAGGAATATTTAGCCAGAACCCCAGTTCAAGCCTCCCTGTAATTATCATCATTGGCAGCATCCAGCCAGGTCCATCCCCAGACGGAGGAAAGTACCTTATCAGAGATACCTCTGTACTCTCTAAGAACAGACTTAAGTATTCATGCTACCCGTTTGAGAAGACCTGGCAGATGTGCCAATTAAGCTTAACTTCCTCCTTTCCCAAATCTTACCTCTAGTTCCAGATCTCCCTTTAACTATCACCAGAGGCATTCAGCTGTACACAGGTTGCCTAGCAACCGAGCACACTTTCCCCTACCCTGCAGAAAAATGTCAGATAGCTTGGATAGATAGGAGCCACAGGAATAAAGAAGGCAGTTTTATTTTCTCCCAGTGACCTAGCAACTTATAGATTAACATTTCTACCAATCACGTTTAAGTCTATAGTTGAGCACATAAGATCCCTCTTCTTAGATAGTTGAATTTAGCCTTTAGTTAATTCATTTCCCCATTAGTCACTTCCCTTTTGGGTTGCAAATGATAATTAACAATTACTGCCCCTCTATATGATTCTTATCACCCCTCCGCTTGACCCTGGAAGCCTGGCTTTGCACTGCCAATGGATTACTGCTTGTAAGTGTATATAAACCGGGACTCCCAGGGCATGGGAGGACAGAGAAGAAGATTTGGAAGAATAAATGACTGGAATAAGCTTGGTGTGCTGAGATTCTATTTCCTGAAAATAGCCCTCGCCGTTTGTAGTTCTCTCTCCTGAGCCCCTGGGATGTATATTAAGGCTGGTCCCTCTAACATTATAAAAGATAACAGCTTCACAGAGTTAAATAAATGCAACATAAAAGAATGCAACATATCTTTGAATCATTAAACAAATATTCCACAACATAAATAAATGTAACACATCTTCAACTAATATTCCACAACATATGCACTTATTCTTTCACTAAACCCTCTTACATGTCTCATTCTTGTCAATTATATCAAGCATCTATTTTTTCTATAAGACTCTAAATATTTTACATACATAACATCATTTAATCTCAAAACTGTCCTAAATAAGTATACACTATTTTCTTCATTTTCAAAAAAATGAAGCCAAGTGGTAAAATCAGTGTTTCAATTTAGTCAGTGCAATCCCAGAACCAATCTGACTCACTGATTAATATTGTTATACATTGATGCATTTTCCCATAAATATTTTATAATCACCTACTCATGATACCTAGCACTAAGGACTGGGGATAAACTAAGGAGCAATAAGAACAAATTGAAATCTTTGTGACTATGGAGCTTATATTTTTAGTCAGGATAAACAGATAATAAGTAAATGTATTTTTTTTTAAATATGAGTATATGAGATAACAATCAAAGTATGGAGAAAAATAATTCAGGGTAAAGAGGATAAGGACGTGGGAGAGTGATGACTTCCTACTGGGAAGTTAAAGAACTCATTAGAAGAGGATATTTGAGGAGAGACTTGAAATACAGTCTTGAGAACATGTCGGGAAAGTGTTCACTCTTCTATACTTACACTAGTGAGATGAGCCAACAAGTCCACACCTCCTAATTCTTTCCAAACAGCTCCAGCAAGCGAGCAAACGTTCAGATATATGAGCCTGTAGGGGCTATTTTCATTCAAACCACCACAACCACTGAAAAGAAAGATTAGACGTGGAAGCTTTGCCTTTACCCAGGTCTGGCCAAGCAAATGAATGACATATGTAGCTGCTAGGCTGTGTCCTTATTAAAAAGATGTGTGCTTCTCTCTCTCTCTCTCTCTCTCTCTCTCTCTCTCTCTCTCTCTCTCTCTCTCTCATCTCACTAGTTGGAATGGGCCTTAACAGATGCAGGGGTGAACTCTTTCGACCCTGAAGGCAAAGACTATTTCCATAACCTTTGGGGAAGCAGAACACTCCGGTCATAGCCCTAGGAATTCTTATACTTGAATATAATGTGAAAACAAACACTAAACTTCTAATTGGACATGGTACATAAGCATAATCCTTTCACTTAGGAGACTGAGGGCAGAGGAATCATAAGGTCAAGGCCAGCTTCCCTTTCAAGACTCTGGAGACTGAACCCAGGGCTTTGACCAGGTGGGGCAAGTGCTCGACCACTGAGCTATGCCTCCTGCCCATGGATATCTGGTAAGTATCTCAGACTTAAAACTTGAAATACCCGAAATCAGATGCCTGACTCCCCACCCCCCTCCACCCCAAGCCCTGCTGTTTTTACCATCTTCCCCATCATAGTTCTGGCATATCAAATTTCCACTGGTTAGGGCAAAATCTTGGGAGTCATACCTCTCTATCACAAAGAGGTAGGACAGGGTTTCTGGTTTTTCATAATTAAACCACTCCCAGATTTTCACCCCCAACTTGATGTGTAAATTGTTGAGAGGGATAAAAGATTTTTGTCTTATGTGGGCTTCTTTGTGGAAGGTGAGGTGGGACAGATGGATATACCGTCCAGGGAGGGGAGGAGAAAATCAGTGAGCGGACAAGCGGGTACATGGATTACATCTGCTCTAGACGCCCTAAATGCTATTAGTGCCCCAAATCAATCTTGCCATTCATTCTCCCGCCCAGTTTCTCTTTGGATAGGGTTAGAGGTGGCCTGCTGGTTTACCTGGGCTCTCGGGGCCCGCCCCAAGCCCCTCCCGCATTGCATGCTGGCCCCCCTCCTTCTGGCTCCGGCTGAAGCTTGGGCCTCCAGGATTCTGTAACGGTTCTAACTGCTGGGAGCAAGTGGTGTGGCTGAGTGGGCATCTGGATGTGCTGCGCTGATTGCTCAGGTCTCCCTGCCCCTACCACTGGCAAGCCCGGAGCCTCCCCTTTCTGCCTCTTCTTTCCTCTAGGTGTCCTCACCTGCAACCGCACTCAGCAGTTGGCTTTCCGCTCAGCTCAGCAGCTTCTCAGTCTGTGGAGAAGACTTCAGGTGACAGTTTTGCCGCCTCTGAGTGACGACCCCTTTGTGTCTCCTTTTCAAGGCAATTGCCAGCCGCCACTCTGAAGGTTCCCTGCTGTGAATGCAGTTTTCCAGAGAGTTTGCTAGTGTGTGTCGGTCTCCGTGTTAAGTGACAGGGACTGAGTCTAAGTTCAATCACTACAGCGAGAGCTCCGCAATGAAACCGCATCCTCACACCTGTACCCCTTCCCTTCCCATGCCTTCTACATCCCGCAGGCCAGGTGAGACAGGGCATTGGAGGGTGGGAGGGAGCTTTCGGCAGGGAGGGTTGCCTCCTCCTCGTACCTGTACCAGTCCTTGACAGGCAGCGTGGGGCTTAGGAAAGGCCCTCTGCTGGTCGGTCTGTGCCCTGCAGCTCTATCCATCTTGCTGTCCTAGCCTAGAACCTGAAACTATTTCCCACCCCTACCCTGCCCCAACCGGGCTGGGTCACACAGGTGAGACGCAGCAGCCAAAAGTCTGGAACTGGCATTTGGCCCCTGAGCTGTGGGCGAGATCAGTTCGACAGCAGTTGAATACCTGCCTCCGCTTTACTCTGGAAGAGAGGAATGTACCTTCATCTCCCGATAAGCTATCATTTGATACCCTTGAGTCTGGGCTCACGGAGTGTAGCTGCAACAGCCAAGAACATACCTGGGACTGTCTGAAGAAGCAGGAGCGCCTTAAGGCAGTGGTTGAATCAGAGCAGCGGACATCGCTGGAGCTGCTGCTGTCTGAGCTGCGGTCTCTGTTGTCAGCTGTGCTGCAGGATGGCAGCAGTGAAGCTTGGCGCTATCTGCATGCAGTACTGGGCCTGTTGTCTCCATATCGTGAGATGCTAACTGGTCAACTCGATTTGCTGCCCTTACTAGAGCAGCTGTACTGCTGGGCACCCAAGGTCCAATCCGAACTCCGCCTGGACCTGCTAGATGCCATAGACAAGGCCTTTCCCCCAGACAGCTCTTTACTATCTAGTTCCTCCCATGTTGACTGCCGTCCCTGGATGAAGAGGTCTCACAGAGGGCCTCCATACCCAGTATGCCCTTTTGTGAAGGCTCGGTGGGGTGAGAAACAAAAAAAGGAACTGGGCACGTGGCTACGTCCATTGACACTGCCTGAGCTGCAGCGCTGCTTGGGCATTGTTGGTGCTGAGGTGGCCCTAGAAGAGTCCCAGTGGCTGGATAGCCTTAGTCTCCTGCCCTTGGCATTGGCGACAGACATCCCTGTACAGTATGAAAGCAGCGATGCTGACCACAAACAAGAGGAGTCTGCTGGGAGAAAGTGAGTGGCCTGGTCCAGGGCTTTGAGGAGAGGAGAAAAAAGAAATTCGTTTCAGGGGCCTGCAGGGCCACTGGCTCCTTGAGTCCCCTCCTATGGTTCTTCAGTATTAGCCCAACTCTAAACTGAACTGGACTAGGCTGCACCCTTCTTCCTTATCTTTTTCTTTTTCTTTTTTCATTTTTCTTTATTAAGAAATTTTTTACTCACTCTACATACCACCCACAGATCCCACCTCCTCCCACACCCCAGCCCTCTCTCCCAAGCCACCCCACATCCCCACATCTCCCAAATCAAGGTCTCCCATGGGGAGTCAGCAGAGCCCGGCACACTGAGCCTAGGCAGATCCAAGCCCCTTCCCACTCACTGCACCAAGGCTGCAGCAAAGCGTCACACCACAGGCACTGGATTCCCACAAGCCTGTCCATGCACCAGGGACGGATCCCCCTGCCTGGGTGCCCCCCAAACAGTTCAAGCCAAACAACCATCTCCCGTATCCAGAGGGTCTAGTCCAGTCCCATGGGGGCTCCACAGCCAGTAGTCTACAGTTCATGGGCTTCCACTAGTGTGGCCAGACACATCTCTACACATCTTCCCATCATAATCTCAACATGTAGTCCGTCCGTGTCCCCCTGCCCCCCCCCCATTTGAATGGATTCCTGGAGCTCAGCCTCCTCCTTCCTTTTCACTTGCAAAACAAAGCCATTGTATGAATGCTAATCCATGGGGAAATACTGAAATCAAGAGTCAGCCAATAGGAAGCCAGAATTTAACCTTGCAGTTTCCAGTCTTCTGTGGTTCCAGAAGCTTCCTTGGGGTTCATTTTCTCTGTCATTTATAATCACTGAACCACACTTTGGGGGTTATCTTGTGGTGGTCCTGGGTGCTAGATATAGATAGGGTCCTTGGTTACTCCTAGGGAGTACTTGTCTGAGTAGTCTTCTCCCACAGGTTTATGTGAAATATTTCAGACCTAAGGCAAAGCACTGACTCTGAGTCATCTTCCTGCTCTGACAGGATGGGCTGGCCCTTTGAGTAATAATCCATTCCTTCCAGTTCCCAGTCTGGCTTCCAAAATTCTAGGACTTCAGAATGCTTAAAAGACCCTTTCTGGGAGTTCTTTGACTTTAGTCTGGGAACTTCTCTCTAGGTCTGATTTTCTTGATATTTTGTAACTTGTCTATGATACATTCACTGTCCAGGAAAAAAAAAACACAAAAAAACCTAGTTTTGCCTTTAATCAAGCATGACTTCCTCAGATTTTGCTTTTAAATTTATGGCTGGATCAATTTATGACCTTTCATGAAGTCTCAGATCCCTAATGGCAGACAAGTGGGCAGGTTCCTGGAGCTGTGAAAAAAGGTGGCCAATGTCAGCAATTTACATCTTCAATCATTCCAGCATAGCTTTTCTTCTTCAGAGTGGCACCAAGTCTAACTTTTCTCTCTTGGGAGACCTTAATAGAAATGGTCATTGGCTGATAGATCAAGAAGGAATCCTGGCAGTCAATCTCTGAGGTCTAGCTAATATAATTTATTTTACTGTTCTCTAGAACTGTCCTCCTAGGCCCTGATTCATTTAATGGCTATTATTAGATACTTGGATATATCTAGATGCTGGGGATGGAAGAAATTAATCAGACAGATTCAGTTCTTTGGAGTCTTACAGTTTGGTGAGGGATACATTAGGACAAGTAAGATATAATTAACAAATTGTAGTAAGTAATATAAAACAAAAGGCTACTGGCTATTGTCTGTGTACTCTCTTGCTGAGACGGAGTTGGGAAAGACACACAGGGAGATACAGCAGGAGTAGAGGATTTGGGTAGAGATTAGATTAGTAAAGTGGGGTTAGGAGGTGAAAATTTGTCAGTGAGGCAGCAGTTGGTAGTATGAAACACTGCCCAGATTTTGTGATGAGGAAACCAGATGATAGTGCACTTGGGATTGAATGGGAGACAAGTGGAAATACCATTTACTATTCATCAAGATTGGCTTGAAAGAGATAAAGACACTAGGACCAGAGTTTGAAGTAATTCTGGCATCTGGATGGGACTCTTGTTAAAGTAGAGGGATGCTTACAGCTCTTAAGACACAGTGTCTGAGAAGTAGGTACTCCATCAGTATTTGTAGACTAAAGGAATCAACGGGTTATGGTAAGAAGAGGAAATTTAATAGAGAATAGCAAGGGATCTAGCAAACACATGAGAAAGTAACCTTGCAGAAAATAAAGGGCACAGTGTCCTTCAAACTGGGGAGACAAAATGACAAGGCAAATGAAACAAAGGGAGTTAATTCAGAGTCAAGAAGCTCAGATTATGCAGGCAAAGTAGGAAGAATGTGATGAGACTGAGGCTAGGCAGGGTTGAGCATACGGTTAGGTACAGTAGGTTGAGGGGCTGGGAACAGTAGTTGTTTGTATCCAACATCAAAATGGAATGAGCCCAGAATTTAGACTGGACACTATGGATCTGTTCAGGAGGCAATATTTCTGGTCTTGTGATATGCAACGTCACTACTAAGGAAATATGCTTTTATTTTTTTGTCATGCTAGGGATCAATCCTGAGTCTTCATGTGCTAGGCAATTGCTATACCACTGAACCACATTTTTAGTCCTATTTGTACTTTTTATTTTGAGATAGTGTTTTACTAAGTTGCCTATACTGGCCTTGAACTCACTATAGCCAGGCAGGCCTTGAACTTGATATCCTCTTTTGATCAGATAGAACAGTTAAGATGATTTGGTCCAATATCAAAGCGTATTGCTGATAAGAATTCTAGGACAGAGGATTTACAGGGTAATGAGCTGGGAAAACAGTGTCTTCCTAGAATTGTATACAGTATTATGTAACACTGACTGCAGTAATCACAGCCAGTGTAGTAGAATCATTTATCAGAAAAAGAGTTTTTCTGATGCCCTGGCTCTAGTTGACTATAGTTGACCAACATGCATGATGGGCTGCATTTGCTCACTATGTGACATCTTTGAGTATAAACTAGACAGTGCCACCTGTGTCCCCTTGTCCACTTGATCTAGCTCCTGCTTTCCGTGGCCAGTGGTAGCAGAGCCCACTTCTAGGCACTGACCTTTTTGCTCTGCCTTTTCTCCCTGGTTTATTTTGTCATGCAGGTCTCTGCTTGCCTCCGAAGCTCCTGAGGAGAAGGCCTTCAGGAAGAAAAGTTCTAAGGCTTCCCTCCTGAGACGTCAGGTGAAATCCCTTCTGAGGACAGACTGGTACCAGAAGAAGATCCACTTCCTCTATCTCAATGTGGTTCCTGATCGGTACTTTAAGAGCCACCCACCCACTCCTGCCCGTCTTACCTGCTATTCTTTTGCTCTATGCTCATCCCCCTCTTTGGCTTCACAGTTTCCAGCCTTCTGACCCTCTCAGCCTCCTCCTCTGCCCTCTCCAGCTCCTTTTTCTCTACTTCGCTTTCACAACCTCTTGTCTGAATTGTGCCTTTCTTACTTTTGCTCTTTATTCTTTTTTTTGAAAGGAGGAAAGCATTTATTTATAGCCTCAGAAGCACATTTAATGCTGACCTTATCTAACTACAGTGCAAGAATCATGGGTTGAAAACTCAATGTTAGGGAAACATTGATCTTCCAAAAACATCCTGTTTTTCAAACTAAAATCTTCTTTCCCTGGACTTCCACCTCTTTGTCTTTTTTTTTTTTTTTTTTAACCTGTGAGACTATAAAAATAAGCCTGGTTCCACACCAGTTGCATCCATTCACTTTCTCCTAT